CCTCGCCGAACTCGCTGCAGGTCTGGCTGCTGCTGCCGCCTGCCTGCGTGCTGCCGTGGAGGCGGGCTGCCTGCTCGATGGTGCCGGATGGCAAGGCCGCCCTTCCTGGCACGATGTCCACAACAAGTGCACGCCCCGCAAACTGCGACCTACCTGAACCGGGCGAGAGGCGCCAGGGATGGCAGCATTACGGTTCCCACGCCTGCTCTACCCATTTTCGCGAACCGAACTGTTGCCTGCCTTGCAACCCCCGGCCCAGGCCATGCTGCATTCGCACTCCGGGCAGCCGCGTGGCTCAGTGCCGCTCTGCCCCCCGACCGCACGCTCATAGCCTTGCGGCAGCTGCGGCTGCCTTTGCCTGTCGCTTCACACCGATGTGGCGCACACGGGCACGGTTGCGAAGCCGCTGTCGACGCCTGCGGCGACCACCACGCCGCCTGCCCTCGAACCGGACTGCTCGCCCACCGAGCCAAGCCTCGAGCATGCATGGGTGCGCATCGCGCGCGAAGCTGTTGATCTGAGGGCCAGGTGGTCCCACGGCAGTGGTTGGCATGCACATCCGCCCTTAACGTCGACCCAGCCGATCGCCGCCGCCTTGCATGACCTGGTAGTGTACGGCGCTACTCCGCTTGGCGAGGCGTTGTGTCGCGACGTCACGCTCGTGTCGCCGCTGACGCGCGAGGGGCGGCCCCAGCCTTCTGCTGCCACTCGTGATGGAGCAGCCATCGTTGTCGCAGAAAGGCGCAAGCGAGTTGCCTACCCTGAGCTATTGCGGCCAGAACCGCAGCGTCTGTGCATCCTCGCCTGCGAAGTTGGACGCCGTTGGAACGCCGAGTCGCTACCTCTCGTCACACATCTCGTGCGACTCCGAGCCCAACGCGCCCTTGCCGCCTTGCGCCCTGCGGCTAGACAGGGAGGGTTGGCTGCGCCGCTTGTGGGGCTTCTTGAGCTTGGCTCTGCAAAGCACACTTGCTGCCACGCTGCTCGGAACGCCGTATGTCGCGGGCGCCCTGCCTGGCGCACAGCACCCGCCGCGGGAGGACGAGCTGCACGATGCAGTCCCTCCCCCCCAATCTTCTGGGCCTGTAGTGCGCAACTTGCACGGGGACCTGGACTCTTCTGTTTTGCGGACATCAAAGAGGTGCGGCCAAAAAAAACTCGAACGGTCGAAAGCGAAAGCGAAAGGCATGGGTAACTTCCGGTCTTGGATGTTCGCCAGGGTTTAAGTATGGTATTTGCCCGAAAGTGAAAAACCGGAACAGCGGAATCAAACGAATTCCAGGAAAAACAAATAAATTTCGCGAGAGGTGAACAGTAACTGTTTATAATGTCAGACAGCGTAAGACCTTCGCAGTCTTAACCTGCATGTTTGAGAAACAGTTGATTTATAAGTCTTTAATCCCGAAAATGTTAAAAGACTTAAAACCATGGCTCCAAGTTGGAACTTTACACCAAACCAAACCCAGAACCTTCAAACTTGAAGCGTCAAACCCAAACTTAACGCCAAAAAGGCCTAAAGCTTGATACGTGAGCCCTGGACGCAAAACCATGAACCCTGGAGCCGCCCAAAACTACTTAACCGTCGAATACAAACCTAAAACCTATACTAAAAAGATTTAAGCTTATACCGTAAGCCTGAACCCCAAACCCGGTGCGCCAGAACTTGAAACGTACCGCAAAAATAACAAAACTTGAACCCTAACACCTAAAGCGTTAAACCCGAAAGTCTAAAGCTTGATACGTGCGCCCTACACCCCAAACCATGAACCATAGAGCCGCAATGCGTAATGAAGCCTGAATTCGCATAAATCGTATACATATTGCACCTGGAAGCCCCAGCTCTGTTCGTCCTCGGCGCAACACCGGCTCCCTGGGCATCTGGGCGCCGGCGCTGGGTGTCGCATACTGTGGCCCCACTATAAAGTTGTCTTTATCGTGGGGGCCACAGTATGCAACACCCATCTCCGGCGCCCAGATGCCCAGGGAGCCGGTGCTGCGCCGAGGACGAACAAAGTTGGGGCTTCCGAGTTTAGTCTTTGCGCTTCATTCGGATTCAAGCTTTCACGTTTTAGGCGTTGCGGCTCTATGGTTCAATCTTTGAGCTTTTGTTTGCCATTGGTGTAACAGCAAGTTTGAGGGTTCAGGGTTTGGTGTTGGTTTTGGTTTTCAAGCTTGGGGCTTTGGTTTTAAGTTTGATGGGGTTAAGGGCTTCTAGGCGAAAGGTTCCGGTTCTAGGAAACAGATCGCAATTAGGACTTTATGCTTTGAGTTTTCAAACTTTAGGAGATACCATGTACGTTCCAGGGTTCAGGGTTTACCATGTGCATTTCGTGGTTAACGTTTCCTGAATGTCTCGTGTGTGGGATCCTGCTACGTGTTCTGCAGGTTGTTCGGGTGTTGATGACACTACGTTTCCTGCTCTTTTCTCTTGAAGGCTTCGACTCTAAAGGCGAAAGGTTCAGGTTATAGGCAGCAAAGTGTAGGGTTTTTTACGTTGTAGGTTTTACCATGTACGTTCCGGGGTTCAAGTTTATGTTGTTGGGTTCGGGGTGGGTCCGCCACTCATGGCGCGCATCCCACACTGCTTAGCCCTATAAAATAGTCTATACAGTGACCCGGGGTACCTCCCTGCAGCAGACCCCAGAATTACTGTGAAATGGCCCGGGCTACCTCTGCATCTTACGGCATGATGTTCCAAAGCCAAGTTCGTATGAAGTGGCCCGGGCTAGATCGGCAAGCCGATTCCCCCTATAAGATGACCCTTTCTGAAATGACTGAAACCATTTCACAGATGTGTCAACATAGCCATTCCATAGGCTGATTTCGCGAGGGATTTACAGCGATCGACCGTTACACCGCTTCCGTCCCCGGCCGCGCACCCCCCCCCCCCAGCGCGGCCGAAGCCGCCGCCGCCCCCCTGCTTTGAGGCGGGCGGCAGCCGAAACGTTGGCACCGCTGCACGTGCACCCGGGCAGCTAGCGCTCGAGGCGGAGAGCGCGTCTTCTGCCAGCGATGGGGCTGAGGGCGATGCACCTGCCCCAACTGCCGGCCCTGCTGGCATACCTTTGCCCGTCGACATGCTGGGAGCTGGCTCGATGAACTCGACCTTCTTTTTTGTGACACCACGACGCGGTCCCAGTGCTGGAGGCCCAACTCAGGGCAAGTCAGGGCGACACCGTACTGCAGTGAAGGTGAAGGCCAAGACAATGGCAAAGAGAGGAGGCTGGCGGCAAAGGACCGAGCGAATTCGGGATAAGTCCGTGGCCTGGCGCGTTCGGCGACCCTTAAAGCTGCACCGCCTCTGTCACGGCGTGGCATCCCAGCAGCCGTGAAGGGCGACACCATGGCTGTGTCGACAGCGAGTTGCGCTCCGTCCCACAAAGGCAGGCCGTTAACAATGATTGCAATGCGCCGCTCGTCCGGCCGGGCGGGGGCAACATTGGGGTCGCGGGTCGCGCACCAGGACATGTGTGGCAACTGTCGCCCCGGCCTCCCTGCAAACACGCGCCGCAGCGCGCTCGAGGGTGCTGCCACGCGAGCGCAACACGCCTGAGCGCGGCTCTGTCTGATAAATCTACTCCACAAAGGATAGCGCAAGGTCGGCGGATCTCGGTCAAGACAAACACGCTGCCCGCTTTCGATGTTTTCGTTCACAACTTGCAAGTAAATCGTCAATGTCTCTTTCCAAGACATGTGTACATCTTGAGATGAGGAGGCAAAACCTGACCACCCAAGATGAAAACAGGTGGACGATTTCGACCACGACCACGTCCTAGAATCATGATTTTTCCTTGAATGCACCAATGTTTGAAAGCTCACCCCTGGCAGTGCGGGGTGCTCATCGGCTCGAGTTAGGGTCGTCAGCGAAGCCGGCAAGCAGGTAGCCCGGCAAGCAGGCCCGGCCCCAATGTTCGCTTGGCCGACAATGAGAGGGCGCTTAATTGAACTTGTTGTTCGATGTTGCAGTGTTTTGCAATGCAAAGTGTGAGCAATGTGCCGCTTTGCCGCACTGCTGCGTTGTTGGAGATGCTGAGTGATGCTAGGGATATCATTCTGTAGCTCCGTGCAGCAAGAAGAGGTACACTAGCATAAATGATCATCCCGCCACCTCCCCTGCACCTACCGTTACAAGGGCTAGCGAGAAGGAACTGCACAAAAAAGCCAGAAGCAAACTGCATTTGTCACCATGCGAAAGCCCAAAAAACAAGCCGCACTATCGGGCTCGGGCAATGATGCTGACACAAAGTGACTCGTGAAACAAGCGGGGCGGGTTGAACCAGATCCTGCAGCAAGCTAACGGCCGTCATATCGATGGAGGCCGAGCAGTCAAACGCAACATGAGCGTCATGCTAGGTTCATTGTACGTGTGTCCGCCATGGCAACGCAGACACATCGCCTTCTCGGCCCCGGCCCGACTTTTTGCCGGCGGCTTGTGCATCTGCCTGGCTGAAGCTGCAGGTGCCGTTCGCCTCTTCAGAGACTTCACTAAGATCTGTTGGTCAGAAACGTGGCCTTTCACGACTCAATAAGTCCCTCTTCTTCTGGTGCACGCTTCATGCCACAGCGTTTCGGCAGGATTGCTTCATCCTCACCCTCGCTGCCTCGCAGTCTCGCAGAGTCTCGCCGTTTAGCCCTCGGTTGCTCTCGCAGTGCGCTTGGCTGGCGCTCGGAGCTTCACAAGCGTCGGAACCGTCTCGGATGCGACGGACATCTGTGTCCACGCGGAGTGGGAGTGCCGGCAAAAGTGGCTAAAACATTCAGGCGTCATCGCGGAAACAGCAGCTCTTCATCATCCCGATTCTCTTTGACACATTGCGGCTTCTCCTGATATCTTTGCCAGGAGCCGTAGTGCTCACATGAACCCTTCAGCAGAACAGCACCTACTACAGCTCTTGGGCGGTCTTGGGCACTACTGAGTTTGCTGAAGGTGTAGTCTACGGGGGCGTCAGTTTTTGACATCCCGCGGGCCTCGCATGGCCTTGCACGCTCACTCAGCTCACTCAGACGCCGTAAGGGAGCTCGTTTCGAAGAACAGCCCTCCAACCTTTCAGGCCAACAGTTTCGAGGTACTGCCGTCGATAATGCAAAATGCACACCACGCGCCGCCTCTGCACTTGGGCCGCCACTTTTCAAAAGGTCAGGGTCCTTCTTTATGTGCTGCGGGAGATAATCCTGCCAGGTGACTGCAGTCAAGCTCACTCATCGACACTATCCCCAGCAAAGTGGGGGGGGGGGGGCGGAGAACCAGAGTCTTGTTTCGACGGGGACGACTGGTGGAGCCCTTGCACTGACTGGCATTTGTGTGCCCGCGTAGAAGCTTTGGAGGTTTCGACTGTGAGTCTGTGTCTGAACGATGCTGGTAGAAGCCCACGTGTTGCGAGTACATTGAAGTTGAAAGTGTGGGATGATTGCTGTGTTTTGCTACAGAGGGCCCACACATGCCCTCACAACTCTGCGAAACAGGCTGACTCGACCAGAGCGGTTCTCTGTTCTGCGTCTTTCAGTGACGCATCCGCACCGGCCAGGATCAGGGCCTCGGCGTCAACTGCGTGATCAGGCGCCGCAATCGCATCGACCCCACCTTGAAGACATCGAGGTCGCCGGATATGGCAGCGTAGTGAAGTGGAGTTGCACCGTCCTGAGGGTCGTACGGTGTTGTACGGCACACACACACACACACTTCACACGACTTCAGCTCCTCGTCTTCAGCATCCAGCGCGGCACGCGAATCTAGCAATGCCATGACGCAAGTCCTTTCAAAGGGGCCGGCCAAAGTACGAGCCGAGGCTTTGGCAAGTCTGCGAAATTCCCCTTGGGGCCGCGCAGGTGGCCTCCTTTTGCAGCATGCATCAAGGCCGTCAGACCCAGGCAACTCAGCACATCGCTGCCATTCACTCAGATATGCTGGTCGCACCACAATTAACAAAACGAGTAAAAGGAGTGTGTCACGAATGATTCGGACTGATCCAGGAAGCAGACTTTTCCGCAATGCCGCGCTTTACGGCGCTGCTTGACACCGCCCTGATTGCGCAAGCCCTCATTTGATTCACAGCGTGTTCGTCAAAGCATGCGGAAGCCTCGCCTTATCTCGGTTGCCGCCCCGGCATCGAGCGCCTGCGCGATCTTCAGCACACCGTCAGCTTATGCCATATTGCGAACTGCCGCTGCCTCCCTTCGACTGGCTGCTAACTCACACGTTCACCCGCGCTTGCAACTGCTGGAGCCGTTCAGGAGCACCTCTCTCACGAGGACGGGATCTCCTTCGCAGGCGCCCTTGAGCAGCCTCAGCTTGCGACCCACAGCGGTGGACGAACTCATCTGAGCGGGTAGTTCTCTAAAGTTCCTGCTAAAGCTGCTAAAGGTTGCGGAGATGTCGAGGACAGCAGACGATACTTGCACATGATGATCCGACACTAGCACGGTGCGTAAGGCCACATGCCTGTGTCACGCGCTTGCTGACTCGATGCAACTTTTCATCTGCGCACGACTATTTCAAGTTCCTGCGTGCATGTCGAAGCAATCCCTCGCAACATACAGAATTCGCGTGAAGTCTTGTGAACGCTCTTGTCGGGATCTATATTGACAACAGACAGCTTTGCAATAGAGTCAGCTAGAGAAGCTAAACTTAACGACTTGTGCCATGGTGCTCATGAGGAGTCACACCAACACAGATAGTGCAAGTGCGAATCCATGCAAGAGGATAGCCTTAAATTTAGCCCGTGTGGTCTTGGGTCACAGGGATTGCTCCCAGCCTCCAAAAGTCTTCAGAGACCTTCTGTGACCGACGACCGAAACTTGGAAGCGAACGATTGAAGAACGCTGGCAACCTTCTGAGGTTTTTGTGGACGGCAGCACATCTTCAATCAGCGTTGGGATCCTAGACGAGCCGGTGCCTCCGGAGCCACTGCTTTAAGTTACAAGGCTGTTTCAAAGCCCGGTAGCCGAGCTCTGATCTTGGCGATCCATTTGACACGTGGTGCCGTTGGCAGTTCAATTGCTGCAGGTACCGAAAGTGTTCCGCATCGTTCAAAGTGCTAAAGAGTCATGACTTCATGTGGGATTGCACGCTGTATGTTGGAAAACCCGACCTTAGGGAGATCCAGTACTGACAGCCGGCATGAAGAGGTTGATACTTTGTCGGAAGAGACTCATCGTCAACCTTTCCTCGAAAGCTGATAAGAGCTGTTGCCATATTCGCTGTCCGGCCGCATTGGCTTGTGGACCGCACTGATGCTTACCGCTTGGCACCGTTTGATTGAGACGGGCCATCAACTGGCCCAAACGGTTTTTCACGGTTTCAGACGCAAGAGTGCGGCAGTGGAGGCTTTCTGGATCCCCCAAAATAAATCAAAATAACATGTTTCGTATATTGAGCACCCGGGCAAGGACCCTAACTTGGAGAGACCCCCTACATAGCAATGCGCCATTTGCTGACCCGACCGGAAATCAAGGCCTCCATCTCAGGTTCTTCCGTGAGATGTTCGGGAAGAAATGTATCGAAAGGAACTTGGATCCGATAAGAGCGGTGGCATCCAAAGGTGCCTTTGAAGTTCAGGGCGTGTCTGTCTTCAGCTGAGCCCGCCGCGCAGAGTTCCAGCCCGATGCAGAGGCAGGTACCAGGGGCCTCAGTCCCAACAATCCTTGGCCCCAGATCAGAGCAGTGGACGGCATGGGCATCATGAGCAGCAGACCCCAGACCGCGAGAGTTGTCAGCCCAGAACGCCTCGACGACACGAAACAGGTGTCCACACTTCGATCCCAAGCCCGGGCGGAGCACTTTTTTTTCCCTAACGTTGGCGGTCCCCGGTCTCCCTTGCTAAGGTTGGCGGTCCCGTTTTAGTTAGAACTACTATGCACTGCAGCATTTCCTATTGTTTTGCATCTAGCTATTAGGCAACTGCAATTAGCAGGGTGGCCTTTGGCCGCCAGCTATTGGGGAATT